TTATATATATTTATATATATAAAAATGTGTGTGTATGCATGCATGTATATATACACACATATATTTATATAAATATATATGTATATTTATATATAACATTTGTTGTGTATATAAAGTATATCTATAATACATATAACTAATATATATCTTATTACATATTATATTTTCTATATCTATATCTATCTCACTAAAGCTTTGGTCGACCTCGTGATGGTGATTTAAAAATTATGGAGTGGGTATAAGATTGAGTAAACTATATAAAATGTACGTGGAACTGGGGGAATTCATCGTCATGCCTTTTTCCCTTCTCGGTCTTGACTCTTTAAATAGACTTAGTTGTCCCGTGGGAAGGAACGGAAACCTGGCTTCCTGCCTTTTAGGAGCCAGCCTGCGATCGGCGTCTGCGTCCGTCACAGCACCTCTAGGCGTGTTTCCGGGGGTGTGTAACGAGCAGTGCCCGTGGTTGGTGGAATCCGGCTCCCCCGCTAGGGTCTGCCGGCCTGGGCGGCGCACCCCGCCTGGCTGCAAGGATCTTATCGTCCACCCACCCACCCACCGGAGCCAGGTCCTCAGGAAAGTGCGCCCCACCAGGAACCAGGAGGAATCGCACCGTCAGGGCTGGCGCGGGAGACCCGCCTGGAACCTGAGTCTGAGGCTCTCCAGCTCTGGGTCCTTCTGCGCGCAGGACAGAGTTTATAGCCGGGAAAGTCAAAGGCAGCTTATAAACCTTGGTACTGAGGATCCATCCTCCAAGCCCTGACTGCCAGGTCGCCTCTCCCTTGGTTGTTTATCTCTGAACCACCTATACCTTTTGAGTTATTAGCTTTATTCCTTCGTCGCCCTGCTTCCTTCTTGTAAATATGCTCCTATACATCTTCACTTTGCAGAAAACACTTTCTTTTCTATTTACAGCTTCTCTTGCTCCTCACCCCTCCCCATGGCCCAATAATGGCCAAGGAGATAAATAAGAAACATAACTCTTTTTGGCTATTATTTTTTTGTTGTTGTTGTTACTC